AGGGAACTGCTAAGGCAGCTGCACCCTGGTGCAACCATCACAAAGCAAGAGACCCGAGAACTAGAAAGGCAAGGCTCACCACCCATTTATCCCTCTGCCTTTCAATTAGCCCCACATGTGATTATCGGCCAGGCTGGCACAATTAACTAACTCATCACCTTATGATGTTGCTCTAGTTTTGCTGTCATTGTTTTTAATCTAGATTTCTTTCGGATCAAGTTTTCACATAGTAGTGTTAAATTGCTAAGAGGAGTTTTTTTAAAATGCTGAGTGAAGAATGTTGAATATGGTTAACTGTGTTTTCTGCTTCTATTTAGATGATCCTTTGCTGGGTTTCTCCTCCATCCTGTTAATGTGGTCAATTATATTGATTTCTTTTCTAGTTATAGACCAATCATATATTCCTAGTATGAAACTAACTAGTGAATCGGGTGCTTAAACTTTAAAAGAGGTAGTAGTCCTGGCACAACTTGGGGGACAGATGAAATCACTCTTATTTTATAAAAGGATCATCCCCCCGTTTATTTTTTATATACTAAAATTTACAAAGATCATTTATAGAAACAAAATATCATAAAACAATGCAGCAGCATATAAATGGTACTCCACTTTACCATGGTTATGTTAAGCTCTTACTTTCCCCCTGCCAACCATTTTCTCATCTGAGCCCACTGTTTGCTTCAAGGCACCTATTTTAATATGTAATTACACGTTATTTATCCTTTCACTTAATTTCCTCTAAGAAAATTGTATTCCTAATAATTAGACTAGAAAGAATAAATAGTATTCTTAATACAAATTCCTAGAGGAAATAAAACTGCATTCTTAATATTCACTGCCATCAAGTAATTTCAACTCATAATGACCCTAAAAGACACAACAGAACTGCTCCTTTGGGTTTCCAAGACTTTAAAATCTTTACAAGAGCAGACAGCCTCATTTTTTTCTCATGGAGCACCGGGTGGGTTTGAACCACTGACCTTGTGGTTGTCAGTTCATGCACAACCCACCACACCATCAGAGTTCCTTGCATTCCTATTAAGTCTAATTATTAGGAATTATATATCTTAGACACACTAAGTGTTAGATAACAATTTTATTTCCTAGAAGTGTATACCCTAAAAGGAGCCCTGGTGGCGTACTGGTTACACAGTGAACTGCGACCTAAAAGGTCAGCAGGTTGAAACCACCAGCTGCTCCACGGGAGAAAGATGGGGCTTTCTACTCCCAAAAATCGTTACAGTCTCGAAAACTCACAGGGAAGTTCTACTCTGTCCTATACAGTTGCTAAGTCGACTAGATGGCAGTGAGTTTTAAGCAACCTAAAGCAACATGGAACAAAGCATGAGCAGATACAGGCACATCCAGTTCGTCACAGTACTGTTCACACTAGCAGAAGATGGAAACAATGTAAGTGCCCAATCATGGAAGAATGGATTTACACTCTGGTCCATAAACACAATGGCACACGAGGCAAAGCTGAAGAACAATTATAAAGCTGTGAAATACCCATGACACGGATGGACTGGAAGGACATTATGCTGGGTGAAATTAGTCAAGCACAAAGAAGAAATATTGCATGATTTCCCTGTTATTTTTAAAAATCGAGAAAAGGTTTTCATACCAAAAGAAACAGACTGATGGCTACCAAGGTTAAGAGGGAAGCAATAGGCTGGGGTATTAACTCGGGTGAAGACAAAGGTAACACACTACAAGATAGAAATGGGGGGTTGGCAAAAACAGGGCAAGCTATTGAGGATTTTGATAAGTTGTTAAATGCAAAAACAGTGAACTGATATATAGAGACCACTTAATTCACAGTAAAAGATTTGAAGGAAAAATAAGTGGATATCTTTAGTATATCAACAGTTTCTAATAGTTGGGAGGGGAGAGAACAGCCAAAAAAATATGGATGGCATAGGAACTGAAAATACAGGGAATCCAGGACGGATGAGCCCTATAGGACCAGTAGTGTGAGTGGCGAAACAGGGAGGGTAAAGGGAGAATGGGTAGGAAAGAGGGAACCGATTACATGGAACTGTGTGTGACCTCCTCCCTGGGGGGCAGACAACCAAAAAGTGGATGAAGGGAGACGTCGGACATGGCAAGATATGACAAAATACCCATTTATAAACTATCAAGGGCTCATGCGGGAGGGGGGAGCGGGGAGGGAGGGGAAAAATGAGGACCTAATGTCGGGGGTTTAAATGGAGAGAAAATGTTTTGAGAAACGATGTACAAATGCGTTTTACATAATTGATGTGTGTATGGATTGGGATAACAGTTGTATGAGCCCCTAAATAAAATGTTAAAAAAAAAATTTTGGATGGCTCTTAAACACATGAAAAATACTCAACATCATTCATGATTAGAGAAATGCAAACCAAATCCCATGGAAAATACAGCAAAAGCATGATCCCACTCAAGAAAATACTGGTAAGTTAGACTTTATTGAATTTGTAAACTTCTGTTCTGCAAACAGCACTGTTAAGAGAATAAAGCCACTGCCTGGGATAAAAGATCTGCGAAACATCTTTCTTTCTCCCATAGTGAAGCCTGGTTTTCTATGGGTCATTGAGTGGATTCAAACCACCAGCCTGTCAGCGAGCAGCCAGGCACGTAACCATTGTGCCACCAGGGCTCCTTAATGCACTGTACAGGGGAGCAAAGAGGTTTGTGGAGGCTTAGTAATCAGCCAAAAACAACACTGCAGATTCCGATCCCGGACCATCTGACGCCAAGGCTAGTGCTGCTTTTCTTTATGAAAAAGAGATAAAATTTTAATGTGGGCTTCTAGACACTTTACAATCTAATATTTGATATTATTACTACATTCATTCCGTTTGCAATTTTCAACAAACTACCACCTTACTGCCGACTTAGCCTGGTGGCTTCTGAAATGCATCAGCATTATTTGTCTAGCAATCTTTTACTGCCCTAGTAAAAACATTAACATTTCCCCATCAATATCTCTTCAATTAGTGTCTTCAATTGGCACCTTCAAAATACCTTGAAAACAGTGTCCTTCCTTTGCATGCTTGGGGACGAGGTAATACGGCTGTAGTCTTAGGTCCCGTCTAACTTTCACTCCAAGCCAGTTCTGGATGGGCAGACCGTTTTTGGTGCTAGCAGGCCAGCTGCTCTTGGACTCCAAGGCCAAGATTATATCCACAGATATTTCCATAGGGCTTTTAATGAGAAGCGTTACGGCAGGGCTCCCTTTCTTTTTCCTCTGCAGAGCAATAGCTGTATCTGTCGAAATGCGCAGAAAGGAACAAAAGGTTGAATGGATCTAATTTTCTCCGGAACTCTCAAGAAAACCATGCAACAGGAAATCGATACAACACTAAACATTCAGATGAAATGTGGTTCTAGAGTGGAACCTAACTCCACAAGGCAAAAAGTGTTATTTCTATGATGACTGTATATTGATAGTTCATATAGGGAGGCATCAAGATTGTGTGTGGTATGTAGAACGAGGAGCCTTGGGAGATGGCGGGGATTAGGAATGCTGTGATTGGATTTTTATTTGGAATCACAGATGGCTACAGCAAAACCTGGAGAAGAGGGCAGGCATGAGTGGGGAGGCCAGAGCGAAGGCCAGAGCAGTCGTCCAGGCCAGAGGTGTCTGGGGTAGCACCCAGGCTGTGAGAATAAGACACAGGAAGCAGCAGTGGTAACAACTGACCAGTTCCCATCTCAAGATGTGCAGATGGATTACATGTGTGAGGTAAGGAAGAAGGCAGAAGACTGGGATGTCATCGCAGGTTGAAGCTAGGCCCACTTTCTAAACGCGAGGAAGCAAGTGGAAGGAAAATGGGCTGGGATGAACTTCGTTTTAGATGCATTGAGATCTCGGTGCTCACAGAGCATCTATCTGGTGGCGATGGCTGCAGGGCCGGTGGTTATGGTAGTCCGAAGCTTGAGAGAGACTGGCTTTGGCAATTAAGAGCGTGCCAGGAGTTATAGACAGGAATAAGACTTTAGGGAGACACCATTGGGAACGAGAAGATAAATCACTAAGTTGAAAACCTTAGACAATACTCTCATTTTCACCTTACATAAATCAGCACATCTGTCCATCTTTTATCCATTGCTTCTTTCTTCCTTCCGATGTCCACTGTTGAAGGATTGTGGGGAAGTAACATTATTCGGTATGGCTCTTCTGGCCATGTCTTTATAATTCCCATCCAATGATAGGGTGCAGCCAAGCACATAGAGTGTGAAAGCTTTATAGAGAAAAATGAACCGTTCCGCCACTCCGATGGGTGTATAAGTGAGCTATCTCAGAATCAGGAAGAGAGAATCCCATGACCATAATCATGACTGTTGCCTGTGAGCCTATATCATCTTTCCGAAGCAAACAATCTCAGATTTCAGAATAGCCGACCTTTGGGTCAGCAGTCCGATGCTCCAGTCACTGCTCCGTAAGTTACCAACAAAGCCGCTGGTTTTCTGGCAGTTGGCAGCATTTTAAACACTGACCGCCCCTCCTGCAACACACTCACGGTCTCCTTTTGTTCCTTTTCAGTCTAATCTCGACTGCGACCATCTTGCCACTCTATTTAACACTGCAATTTGCCCCTCACCCCCAGCCCCAGAACCCTCCTGATGCCTTTTACTTCATTGGAATCACCCCCCCCCCATAGTACTACTATGCTAGCATGCTACCACATGCTAGCACACGAGTGTTTTTAATGTCATTTGAGTTTTTGTTGCTGTTGTTGAACAAAGCAGACCCTGATGCGATAGCTTCTATATGTTCAACTCAGGGACAGGGATGACCCGCTGAGTTCTTCCTCCCTGAGGACATCCAGGCCCTCTCCATTAGGGTTTCCGGTTAGTATTAATTACATGTCCCCACTTGGAAGATTGTAAACTATAGAAGGTTGAGAATATTAACCTATGTACTCATTACTGTAACCCAGACATCTACAACAGCACCTGGGACTGGATGTTCAGGATATATCTATTACATCAATAAGTAAGTGAGCCTGTCCTCTTTGTCTAGATGAACCCATCCACTCACTATGGCATCTGTATATTGAAGAATTTCAAATGTTTACCTGCTGCCTCGACATGTTCTCTGAACTCCAAACCCATATCCAACTGCCTATGTGACAGCCACTGGGCTGCATCTCAGGAACTTTCATCAGATCCAAGCCAACCGCCTAATTACATCCCAAATCATGTTCTTTCTCAGTCCTTCCTGTCTGGGAGTCAGATCTAATTCAATCCTTTCCCGCACTCACTCCCCACACTTAATCCAGCAATGAGCATCGGTATAGCTTGGACTTGTCTGCTTCTCTCCATCCTCAGCAACTTCATTCTTCCCCGTCTAACAACAAAAAACCAAACTTACTGCCAATGACTTGATGCTGACTCATGGTGACCCCATAGGGCAGAGTAGAACTGCCCTATGGGTTTCCAAGACTGTAACTCTTTGCGGGAGTAGAAACTCCCGTCTTTCTCCCTCCCGAGAAGTAGCTGGTGCTTTCGAACTGCTGACCTTGCAATTAGCAGCCCAACATGTAACCACTACGCCAACGCCACTGAGGTTCCCACCATCATTTTTCACCTTTTAAAAACACAAAATAAATCAACACTTCTTGACGGAAGCTTGTCCTTGGCTTACCAATACACAACTCTTACTGACGATCTCACATTCTTATGAGTTGTGGCCTCTTGGGCACCTCTTCAACGTCACCTCCGGCCACCCTTCCCTTGCCCATGAACCTTTCTGTTTCTTGACATTTCCAAGCTATTTTCTGCCTCAGGCCTTGCCCTCCTGGCCTCCTCACTCGAAACAGTATCACTTGTCTTATACTTCGTTTCATTTCTTCTAGTCCATCACAAGCTTCAAGAGGGGTGCCCATCTGTTTCATTCAATTAGTATACCCGGGGTTCAGGCAGCAACTCAATGGCTGTTCTACTGCAGCCTGAAACAGGGCTGATCCACATTTGGGAAGAGGACCGAGAAAATGTAGTAGACAGAGACCACGAGACAAGCCAGGTTCCAAGGGGTTAGGAGGACAACAGCTTAGGGATGCCGAGGAAGACCACGAAAGGGCTAGACAGTGGCAGTTAATGTGTCTGATGAACCCTGGAAAAATCAAAAGTCAGAAATCTTACCTTCAATGTTTTTAATTTCTTCCTTAATGATTTTCCTAAACTGTGCCAGCATTTTAGAAGCAGATAATATTTCCCCTTCTAAAAACTGGCTCAGAGGATTTCCCTTGGGGTTTCTTTTGAGCTTCACAAAGTAAAAAGCACAACTATCGAAATATTCTTCTAGCTGGATTCTTTCAATGTTCAGTGTGAACATGACATCAAATTCATTTGGCGCAGATATCTACAAAATAGTGAAAACAGAACTAAGATCTTGCTGGTAGATATTTTCCAAGCTACTGCGATTGATGGTTTTTCTTGAAATTTCTACTTAAAAGTCTTCTTTGAAAAACAAAATTCCTACCATTTACATCCACTGGGAAAAGGACTAGAGGAGCTAAGAACAGGATATTACTGATTTTATTGTAACTTCTTTTTTTTCAATGAGTTTTTTAAAAATCATTTTATTGGGGGCTCTTACAGCTCTAACATTCCATACATCAATTGTATCAAGCATATTTGTACCTATGTTGCCATCATTTCCAAAACACTTTCTATTTATTGTAACTTCTTATGGTGAAGTGAAGTTGCTTTGCTATGGCTCTTCCATCCTTGTCTCTGTACCTTCTACCAAATGACTAGGTGGCACCACACAAATAGGGGATTGGCCGGTTTTGTCATTCTTCTGGGTATGAGAGCCAAGTCAAAACAGGACGAGATTCCTGTGACCACCAAGAGACCCCTGCCTGTAGCAGCAGCAGAGGGAGAGGAGCCATGCTGAGAACCAGCGAGTGGGAGGCAAGGCAGCAGGCGTCCATGCAAGCAGAGGCCAAGGGATCACATGACTGAGGGAGTGAAGACCAAGGAGAGACGTGGCTACTGGCTGTGAAGAGATGCTGCCAGGGATCAAGGACTGTATCCTAAATATTTTCTGATTCTGGTTTGTGGTAACCTGCTAACTTCCCATAATCATGAGTACTGTCTGCGAGTTCTGTGTGGGCCCTGTGACAGATGAGCAAACCCAGCGGAGAAGTCAAGTTCTCTAGGAGAAAAGGCTAACGTCAGAAACGGGTAAAGAAGAATGGAGGACAGAGACCTATCTGACCTCTGCCTGTGGCAACTGACCTTGGGCTGGTGTGGACTTGTTTCCTTCTCCCTACCGGCGCTGGAGGAAGTCACAAGTAGTCCCTATGTTATTTCCTCCCTTCTATATTCATCTTTTTAAAAACCATAAATGCAATCATTTCTATAATCAAGATGATTCTAAATTATATCAAGAAAGCTTATAAAAACCTATTCCTAGTTATTTTCAGAGTTTATATTTAGTAAAACTAAAGCCCCTTGTAATGTTTTCTTTTATGCCACAAGATATTGCAGGTCAGCCTCAAATGACAATGGTTTAAAAAATGTGTAGTCCCTTCCTGGCCAGGTGAGCAAGAGCCACCTCGTTAAATCTGCAAGCCACCCAAACGAGCGTGAGCCCCAAGCCATGCACTGTGTGATGTCTTGGAAGCACAGCATTTTTATGTGTCAATTAATTTCCATTTTCATCTCACAATAATAATTTCTTAAAGTATGATGGTACTTTTCTTTTTAAAATGTGCCCCTAATCATTCGTGAGTGCTAAACTCCAAGTACAGTTCTTGGATTACACTCTTCAGCACAGTGTCATCCATGTCTTCTAGACACATGACATGCGGTAGTTTGAACAGAGATGTACTTGAGGTTAAAACACATACTGAGTATGACAAGTCAGAAAGATGGAGTAAGAGACTCCATCTTTGTTCATAAAAGCAGTAGGAATGTAGGTCAAATTCTCCAGGACTCTGTAGACTAACCAAAGGCGAACAGGAATATGGCGTCTACTCACACAAAAAAACAGTGGAACCCTGGAAACAACACTGCGCTTTTTAGGGTTCAAAATGGTCCTATGCCCACTCTTGGCCCCTCAGAAAGCCCTCTTATTCTGACTCCCTGTCAGTAATCGCCCACCAGGAGTAGCCAGTATTATGACTTCTAATTCCATAAATTACGTTTGCCTGTTTGAGGATGTCATATAAACAGTCATAGAATATGTACACTTTATATCTGCATTTTTCATTTAAAAAATTATAAATGTGCCCCCTTTTCTGCCTGTGAATGGTGCAGAGGAAACATTGTGAGGGGTCCCACGCCACCCCACCCTCCATGCCATCCTGTCTAAGTCGGAGACTCCTAAAGAGCCCCGCACAGCTGCCGAAACTCTTCATCGGAGGGTTGAGCTTTGTGAGTCTGTGGAGCCATTGTGAACAACGGGGAACGCTCAGGGACCGTGTGGTCATGAGAGAGCCACACACCCAGCGCTCCAGGGCCTGTGGGTTTGTCACTGACTCCCTGTGGAGGGGGTGGATACAGCCATGAATGCAAGGCCACACAAGGGGAAGGGAAGAGTTAGGGAACCGATCAGGTTGTCTCCCGGGAGGACTTCAAAGAGCAGGTGTCCCTTTAATGCTGAAAAAGATCTCTGTTGTTGGCATCAAAGGAAACACTGAAGAGTACCACCTACGAGATTATTTTGAGCAATATGGGAAATTGAAGTGCTTGAAATCATGACTGATAGAGGCTCTGCTTGTGTGACTATTGAGGACCATGGCTCCGTCCTGTGAACGGCCACCACTGTGAAGTAAGGAAAGCCTGTCGAAGCAAGACATGGCCAGTGCCTCTTCCAGCCAAAGAGGTCGAAGCAGTTCTAGAAACTTTGGTGGTGGGGAAGGAGGTACTCTTGGTGGGAATGACAACATTGGTCGGGGTGGGAACTTTGGTGGACGTGGTTGGTGGCTTTGATAGCAGCTGTGGTGGTGGTGGATATGACAGTAGTGGGGGTGGTTATAATGGATTTGGTAATGATGGAAGCAATTTTGAAGGTGGTGGAAGCTACAATGATTTTGGCAATTACAACTGTCAGTCTTCCCATTTTGGACCAATGAAGGGAGGAAACTTTGGAGGCAGAAACTCTGGCTGTTACAGTGGTGGAGGTCAGTACTTCGCCAAACCACAAAACCAACATTGTTATGATGGTTCAAGCAGTAGCAGTAGCTATGGCAGTGGCACACGATATTAATGACTACCAGGAAACAAAGCTTACTCAGCAGAAGAGGAGAGCCAGAGAAGTAGCAGGGAAGCTACAGGTTACAACAGAGTTATGAACTCAGTGTTGGCAGGGCTCAGCTGCTACAAAGAAGACATGTTTTAGATAGTACTCAAGTGTTTGGGCAAAAGAACTCAAGGACTGTATTTGTGACTCATTGTAACAGGTTATTTTAGTTTCTGTTTTGTGGAAAGTGTAAAGCATTCCAACAAAGGGTTTTAATAAAGTTTTCTTTTCATATCCATAAGGGAGCAGAAATCCCATATAAGGTCAATATGAATTAGAATCGACTGGATGGCAGTGATTATATTGCTGTTGTTTGCTTACTGGAAATCTGATCTTTTATTAGTCTGTGTAGTATTTCACTGAATTAGTAGAACACATAAAAATGTATTTGTCGAGCTGATATCAAGCGTTCAAGTAGAAAGCAAATGTTTTGGGAATGATGATGGCAACAAATGTACAAATGTGCTTGACACAATGGATGGATGTATGGATTGTGATAAGAGTTGTATGAAGCCCCAATAAAATGATTAAAAAATAAAATAAATAAAAATAAAAGATTAAAAAATGTATTTGTCAACTCTGTTGATGTATACTTGAGTTATTTACAATATTTAAAGATATATGTTGCAATTAGGAATGCTGGTGGCATAGTGGTTACACACTGGGCTGCAATATGCATGGTTGGAAACCACCAGTCGGCTCTGAGCCGAGAGAACGGCAGGGCTTTCTAGTCCCATGAACAGTTACTGTCTCAGAAACCCACAAGGGCAGTTCCACCTGTCCGATAGGGTCTCTGTAGTCAGCATCAACTGGATGGCAATGACTATGTTGCAACTGAGAATATATTCAGCAAAATATGTTTACCGTTTGGAGGTAATACTGTAAACACGCAGTCTTCAACACCTACACAGGGTTGCTATGAATCAGAGTAGTGGGCTTACCAATTTGAAGAGCTTGGAATCCACGTTGGAAAAAACGTTTTGTATGCATCCCTCAAGGAAGAGAAAACATTGTTCTGCTGTATGCCTTTCTTAGTTCTCCAAGGACATCAATATGGAGAAGTGAATAATGGGACAGACTGAGACAGTTAAGGAAGTCCAGCCCATTCTCGAATTCACTGGCTTGAGGATTTTTCCTAGGCAATACAGATGCCCTCCTCATTTAAAATAAAATGGCTCTTAGATATATTAATTTTTATGGAATTCCTCGAAGATGACGCTGAATTATCCAAGTCGGAGTTTATCAACACCAAGTACACAGAGAGCAGATAGAGAAACAACACACATCTGCTTACATGAATGAATCCATATACTTGAATTTGCCTTGTAGCTGTGTCTTGAAAGAGGCGGGCAATCAGTGTGCTTAGTTGGATAATCCTTGGATGGACAGACGAATGAAGTGAGCCATTAAGTGGGTCTATTTAATTAGAATGGTGCCACAGGTGGCCAAAGGGGCCCTGGTGGCACAGTGGATTTGGGATTGGCTGCTAACAAGAAGGGTGGCAGTTCAAACCCACTAGGCTCTCTGCGGGAGAAAGGTGAGGCTTTCGGCTCCCAGAAGGGTTTGCATCCCTCGGAAACGCACAGCGGCAGTTCTACTCTCTCCTACAGCTCTCTAAGCGTAGGAATCGCCTCGATGAAAGTCAAGCCGGTTTTTCTTGGTTTGACTTAGAAGTCTAAGGGGTAGTGAGGGACCAAGGAAGAAAGTCCGGGAGGCAGAGGGGAGGGACGGGAAGCAGTGCTCACCTTCACGTGCTCATAGTAACTCCCGGCGCGCAGCAGCGAGGTGCCTCGGAACTCGCACTGACAGCACTGCAGCCTCCGCTGCAGGTGGTCCACGACGCGGTTCACCACCTCCGCCGCCCGGCTGATCTCGGCGCGGCGCAACTTCAGGCTCTCCAGCACCCTCCGGGGCTTCCAGCCTTTGGGCGCCGACTCTCTCCGCTCGAGGCCGGGGGGGCGCAACTCCTTGGGCCCGGTGGCCGATCTCCGCTC